GGTTGGGGGCCCCCTGGGGGGGGGGGCCCTGGGGGGCCCCTTCAAGAGCTTCCTGGGGGGCCCCTTGGGGGGCCCCTAATGGGGCCTGTGCTGCTGCTGCTGCTGCTGCTGCTGCTGCTACAGCAGCATTTTTAGCAGCAGTATTGGAAGCTGCTGCTCTTGCTTTTGCTGTTGCTTCATCAATGTAAGCCTTAGGGTGTGCATACACCTGAAGTTCTCCAGGTATTCTGCATGCAGCAGTTGCTGCTAATGCCTGGGGCTGATAGTATAATGAAGGATGAGAGGCTTCTTTATTATTATTGTTTGTTGGAGGGGTGAAGGTTTCACAGAGAGATATCGAAGGAGACAGAGACGGAGACACAATATAAGCAAAGTGAGTGCAGCCAAGGGCCTCTAAACACAGCTGCTGGCAGTCTTTTGCTGTTGCTGCTGCTGCTGCTGCTGCTGCTGTTGCTCCCTTTATTCGCTTATTAAACACAAAACAACTCTCAACAAAATCAAAAGTCTCATACTCCAATTCCTCTGCTGCTGCTGCACTTGCTGCTGCTGCTGCTGCACTTGCTGCTGCTGCTGCTGCTGTTGCTGCAGTGGGATTATGAGGGCCTTTCTGCAGCATATCTTGGGGTGTATCTGCAGCTGCGGTGTATCCGATAAACCAATTGTCTCCCTTTGTCTTTTCTGTTTCTTTATTTTGCTTCTCCTTCACGTCCTCGGAGAACGAATTAATGCTTCTGCTACTGCTGTTGCTGCTGCTGCTGTTGTTGCTGCTGTTGCTGCTGGTTAGTGTTTGCTGTTGGCTGTTTGTCTCTGTTTTGTCTCCCCCCAAGTTCGCAGCTGCTTCTGCTGCTGCAGCAGCAGCAAACTCCTTCTCTTTTACGCCATCTAGAGCATCTACAGCAGCAACAGTAGCAGCAGCATTAACAGCAGCAGCAGCAGCAGCAGCACGGTATTTGAGCTAAGGTTGTTTGTTCTACTGCACAACACCAATAGAGGCATCTCTTTTGCTGCTGTCTCCTTCTTTATTTATCTTTTGCTGTCTCCTTTCTCTCTTTTGTGTCTCTGTTCGTTTTCTTTTAATATTTTATCTGTCTGCTCTCTAACTCAGTATCTCCCTAACAAATTCACTTTGTTGTTGCTGCTGTTGTTGCTGCTGCTGCTGCTGCTGCTGCTGCTGCTGCTGCATTTGTTTACTTTCTTTTCTTTGTCTTGCATGCAGCTACTGCGTTGTTTTCTTTTGTTTATTATTATTTATTCGTTTGTGTAGTAATCCCTATTGTCTATAATTATTTATCTTCTTTTTTGTTGTTTATTTATTTACTTATTTGTCTTCTGCTCAGCAGCAGACAGGCAGCAGCTGCTGCAAGTGCGAGGCGAAGGGTTTATTAATCTTAGTATTTGTTTGTTCTAAATTGTTCCTTATCACCTGCTGCTGCTGCTGCTGCCTGCATGCATCATTAAGAGCGTGCATGCTGCTGCTGCTGCTGCTGCTGCAAGGCCCCATAAGAGCCGTGTATTCTCTTACCTTCAGCAGGAGCACTTTGCTGCCAGCCTGCGCTATAGGCGAGCTGCAGCAGCAGCAGCAGCAGCAGCAGCAGCAGCAGCAGAGGCAGCCGCGTTATGTTTCTGTACTGGATTATCATCCTCAAGACCTCCTCTGCATGCAACAGTGCACGCGCAGCAACAGCCCTTGTTTATTCTTGTTTTTTTGCTTCCTTACTCGCATGTGTTACAAGCAGCACTGCAGCAACTGCTGCAGCAGCAGCAGTTGCTGCTGCTGTTGCTGCTGCTGCTGCTGCGTGCGAGGGTCAGCAGCTGCAGAAAAGCAGCCAGAGCAGGAGCCGTCTGCTTGCTGCACACGGCCAATGTGTATTGCTTAGAGCATAGCAGCAGCAACGCAGCATCAGAAGTATAAGTGGCAGCAGCTGTAGCAGCAGCAGCAGCAGCAGGGATACGTTAGAAGGATTGTGCGCAGCTAATTGCTTTATTGGAGTATAAATCAATTAAAATTATTTATGCCTACTTATATCTGCGAAGCTGTGAGGCACAGCCCAGCGACTGCTGCTGCTGCTTCCGCCGCTGCTGCTGCAGGCAGTCCAGCAGCAGCAGCAGCAGCAGCAGCAGCAGGGGCGCGCGAGGCTGAGCAGGGGTGATCTTAAGCCCCCTGCTTGCTTTCAGCTAAGGAAAAAATGTAAAATAATTAATTAAGTTTAATTCTTCTTTATTTAAGTCAAAAGAGAGGCCTGCAGCAAGAAAGCCGCAACGCTCGCGGCTGCTGGGCGTTTGCTGCTGCTGCTGCTGCTGCTGCTACTGCTGCGGTGGTGGTGCTGCTGTGTATATGGGCTGCGTTATTTGCAGTAATCTGCATTAAAATAATTTATTAATTTAAAGTAGTATTGCTTGATCTAGTTTGTTTTATAAAAGTTTATAGAAAAACAGAGAGCAGCAAACGGGAGGGAACAGCAGCTACACGCATGCAGCAGCAGCAGCTATAGCGCAGCAAACGCAGGGGGAGGTGGGGGCATGTGTTTGCTGCTGGAGTTGAGCAAGAGCTTAGGGCTCTGCTGCTGTTTAATTGCGGTTGTATACTTTTTCAACTAAGAAGCTTAGAATCATCTCTCCTTCTGTTGCTGTATTATTTCTTTGTCGGCTATTTTAGGTTGCAGCTGAGTAGAGGCTTGTTGGGGTGGCTGCTGCTGCTGCTGCTGCTGCTGCTGCTGCCTTGTTGCTGCTACTAACAGGTTCTCTTCCTCTGTTCGTTTTGTTTCTTTAGAAAGCAGTTTTAATAGGGGTTTTCTGTTCTGCTTTTGCTCTCTGCTGCTGCCGCTCTGTTGCTCCTGCTGCTGCTGCTGCTGCTGCTCCCTCGCTACCACCCTCTTCTGCTGCGGCTTATGATGGAGCGTCCTTGCGGGCGCCGCTGCTTTCTTCTGTTTTTCTTCTTTTTCTTATCTTCATATTCAACTAGCAATGAGATTCTTGCTTCTGCTGCAGGGGCAGCAGAAGCAGCAGGGGATGCTGCGTTGCTGCTCGCTGAGCAGCCGCAGCAGCCTCCCCAGCAGCAGCTTCAGCAGCCGTCACAGCACTTGCAGCTGATGTCACAGCAACTAGGGGATAGCGAGCCTCTGGAAGGAGCAGCAGCAGCAGCAGCAGCAACAGCAACAGCAACAGCAGCAGCTGCAGCAGATTCAGATGATGGAGAAGAAGATATGTTTAATGACGATTCTACTCATCGTAGAGAAGAAGACAGGCCGAGGACAACTAAGCGTCTGTACACCACAAAGAGAAGCATGCGCCCGGGATCCAAAGGCGGGAACCAAGCAGCTCTAGGAAAAGTATTATCTGTTGCAGTGCTTGTGCTTATGGCTTGTATATTTCTGGGTTTACGCAGCAAAGGGGGCCCTCCTGAAGATGAAGAAGATGATGATGAGGAGGAAGAAGCAGCAGCAAGAGAGAAAGGAGACTCGCAGCAGCAGCAAGAAGACGTCGAACAGGATGAGCAGTAGCAGCACTATAGCCCCACGCATGCGCTCTGGCTGCCTACATTTCATCATGCAGCAGCAGCAGCAACAGCAGCAGCAACGGATGCTGCTGTTCCTGGTGCAGCTGTTGGCTGCGCTCTCGTCGCCTACGGGAAGCAGCAGCCTTGCAGGTGAAACGCAGTGCGCACCGATCGAAGGCAGCAGCAACAGCAACAGCAGCAGCAGAAGCAGCAGCAGCAGTACCAATCCTAGCAGCGGCTGCAGCAGCAGCAGTAGCAACAGCAGCAGCATTCGTCCCTCAACGTGTGCATGCAGCTGCTAGCGCCCCCTTTGCTTTCAGTGACGACTAGCGAGATCCTCTGCAACGCCTGCAGCAGCAGCTGCTGCAGCAGCAACAGCAGCAGCAACAGCAGCAGCAGCAACAACAGCAGCAGCAGCAGCAAAAGCAGCAGCAGCAGCGGGATTCCGGCGCAATGTGGGGTGCGGGCGAAGCTGGGTGCAGCAGAGCATAGAAGCCCATGGATGCATGCATGCATGCATGCATGCATTGTTAAGTACGTGGGTTTGGAGGAAGCAACAGAGGCCTGAAGGTCTGTGGGTTGGAGGTGTTGGCGTAGTGCCGCTCTTGAGATTGCAGTGTACGGTTTAAGGGCAGCAGCAGCAGCAGCAGCAGGAGCTGCTGCTGCTGCTGCAGCGGCTGTGGGAGAGAAATGCAGCTGCAGGGCGGTTGTTATGTTGTCATCGTTAGGTTTGCCTGCATGCGCATGCTTGTGGTTCGGGTGTCTATACAACTATGTATGCATGCATGCATGCATGCATGCGTGCATGCACTGAATGCTGCTGCGTGCGAAAGTGCATGCAGCAGCAAACGGTGCGTGTAGAAGCGTAGAAGAGTCTGGGAAAGCGGCTGCTGCTGTTGCTGCTGCTGCTGTTGCTGCTGCTGCTGTGGCAGTGGTGGGTTTGTCTTCCGGCCACAGCAGCAGCAGAAGCAACTGGGAAGACAAAGGCAGTAGCAGCAACACGTGCAGCAGCAACACCAGCAGCAGCAGCTGCTGATTGCAGCAGCAGCAGCAATAGCTGCTGCTGCTGCAGCAGCTGAGCTCTTAATAGTAGCACCTAACGCGCTGCACAGAAGACGTATCTTTCGGTGCAGCAGCGGCTCCTTAGGGGTGGCTGCAGCAGCAGATGCAAACCCTAAACCCTAAACCCTAAACCCTAACTGCAAACACCAGGGAGCCTCTTCGGCTACCTGGAGACAGCAACAAGGCTTGCATGCGCTTGCTTATTATACTTACTATATATTTATTGTCTCTTATATGAAGATTCTTAATTATATTTATTGTGCACTCTGTCGTTTGCTTCTTATTTATTTTAGTTTAAAGTTTTTCAGTTAGCATATTAATATCTTATTTAGTATATACGTATATATATATGTATATATATATATATATATATATACATATATGTATATATGTATATATGTATATATATATATATATATATGCATATATATATCTGTATGTTTATATTTCTAATATATAATAGCCATATATATATATATATAAATACATATATAATATATATATATATATAAATATATATATATATGTATGTATACATATGTATGTGTATATATTTATATACAATATAGTATTTAATAAGTATGTGGAGTATATTTGCATAGTATAGCATATAACAAACATAGAATATGCATATTATATATTTTATAGTAAATAAACATAAAATAAATATTTATTGTAGTGTATAATAACCATATAGAAGTATGTTCATATATATTTAATTCTGTATAATAAATATATATATGTAATATATATATATATATATATGTATATTTATATTTGTTTATAGATAGTGCTGTTTTATTTGAGGATTTTTAATAGACTGGGGCTGCATGCAAATACAAAGAGCAATGTAAATGTATTAATACAAATATAAAATATGTAAATATAAATATATAAATATATATAAATATAAATATATAAATATAAATATGTAGGTATAAATATATACATATAAATATATAAATATAATTATGCAAGTATAAATATATAAATATAAATATATAAGTATAAATATATACTGCATGCAAATATACTTCTTACGCTGTTGTTTGTATTTGCAGTGGCTTTGTCTTCACTAGAACAAATTATATATATATATATATATATATATATATATATATATATAT